GAATTACTGTACGTACTTGGAATCGTTTTTAAAAAAGAATCAAGCCACTCAAGTTCTAACTATCTGTGGGCCCACTCTGAAGAGTATTTTAACTTATTTTAAGAAATAACCAGCAGTCAAGAAGCAGGGAGGAAATGTAACAGCAGTCTCAGCCTCCTTCACACTTGGCATACAGGACAAAAAAGAGCCGCCTGGCCTTGGGAACAGCTTCCTGCAGCTTTGCTCCCGGCCTCTCCATCCTGAGGATAGGCCAACTTCATGTGGCTCCAAAGACTGACATTTCCCACTCCCCACACCACATGAGCAGGGCCTTACCCATAGCACATACTTAGGAGCTTGCCAAATCAAAACCTAGATTTTTGGGGCCGGCCCAGTGGCTCAATTGGTTAAGAGTTGGCTTGGGAGCGCAGGCTCTGAGCAGCAGGGCCGCCAGTTCGGTTCCCACATGGGCCAGTGACGCTGTGCCCTCTATAGCTAAAGGAGCTGCGCTGCCGTGAGGCGATGGCATAGGCTGCAGCAGGGCTGCAGTGGGCTGCCGTGAGTGGCCAGCGGCTGGCAGCTGGTGAGAGCTGCTGCAAGCCACGGTGAGCAGCCGTCCAATGGCCGGCGACCGACTGCCTCAGCCGGGAAGATCTTAATGATCATAATACCAACATGGGCCAGTGAAGTGGCGTCCTCCACAACTAGACTGAAGAACGAAAGGACAGCAACTTGTCTGTTCCCCTTCCCCAAGTCCCCAACGCTGTTCCCATCCCCCAATAAAAATCTTTAAAAAAAACCCCCAAAAACTAGATTTTTGTACATTATGACCAGACCTTTCAAACATGAAATGAAATTCAGAATTAATCATTTGGTAATTTAAGAAGTTGGCTACTCTCACCGAAGTAAAATATCTTGCTAATTAATAAGCTAACAAGATTAGCGGTATAGCAAAATTTTTAAAATCTCATTCTCTTATATTAAAAAAACCTATTATAATAATTAACTAGTATTTTTTCAGGTTTTTCTTCCTTGGTCGTGTTGGTCCTACTCAAATCTAGATTATTTAACTAGACTAGAGGAAGGGTCAGCAAATGGTTCTTAAAGGGCAACATAGTAAACATTTTAGGCTTTGTGACCAAGAGACAAAATTGGTCTCTTACATGATTCGCCTTTGCCAGTGTACCACAAGAAGCAGTCACAGACAATATGAGGTGCCATCAAACAATACGGTGAATGTTTAAATAAAAATAATTTATTACAGTAAAGACACATTGCCATTAATCCCCCTCAAAATACTCACCCTCGCTTCAAATACACTTATCCCATCGTTCTTGCCACTTTCTGAAGCAGTTCTGGAAGTCCTCTTTCAGGAGTGTCTTTACTTGCACTATTGTGGCTGCCTCGATGTCCTGAATCATTTTGACTTTGAGAAGAACCAGAGGTTGCACGGAGCCAGATCCAGTGAATAAGGTGGATGAGGACACACTGTCATGTTTTTATTTGAGAGAAATTGCCATATACCAGCGATGTGTGACACGGAGCATTCTCATGACGGAGGGTGATTTATAAAACACACTTTCTCTCAACCGTAGCTCACACACACCCAACTGACTGCACTGAACAAGTTGAAATTTTTCACACACTTTTACTAAGGTTTGATTGACACGCCACTTCCCATATTGAAGATTCCTGCCTGCCTTTCTGTTGGATGACACTTTGGCAGTAGCATTCACCATATTTCCTGATCACAACGGAAAGGCTCTGTGTCACACATCGTTTCTGGTATACGGCAGTTTCTGTCAAATAAAAACATTACTGTGTGTCCTCATCCACCTTATTAACTGGATCTGACACTGTGCAACTTCTGGCTCTTCCCCAAAGTCAAAATGATTCAGGACATCGAGGCAGCCACAACAGCAACTAAAGGCACTCAGGAAAGAGGACTTCCAAAACTGTTTCAGAAAGTAACAAGAATAATGGGATGTGTTCGAAGTGAGGGGGAGTATTTTGAGGGGGATTAATGGTAATGTGTCTTTTACTGTAATATATATATTTTTTAATTTAAACATTCACTGTATTTTTTTTATCATACCTTGTACAGGAACCAATGTAGCACACATGAAAAGAGGTGGTGAGCTAGATCTGGCCTACAGATGGTCAACACCTAAACTGGAGCCTTTTATTGGTAAATTAAGCTAATGAGAAAATTTCTTCCTAAATTCACCTACATGCCTTAGAATGTCAATAAAATGTAGCTTAACAGTTAACATTACAAATCACACTCAAAATCAAAGGAGACAATGCTTAAAACAGTTTTGATACACTACCAAAAATCATCTTTCAATCTTTAACATGATTTAAAACTGTATTTATATGATAACTAATAGAGCTTCCCCACTTTAGAAAGTGAAGGAAAATGCTAATGATATTTCAATACTATTACATTGTGTCTTTTATCCAGCTGAAGTGTCAATTAACTATCAGGTCTCATAACAGAATTTAGGAATTTAATCTTTTGAAAATCATAATTCTTCAACTTGTAATTAGAGGCAGAGTACAATGGAGCCATGGTTTGAGCTTTACTGATGGTCCTAAGTCATATTATCCTTGTTCCCCTTCATTTTTGTTGGGAAAAGGAACTGGAGAACTTCCAAGTGTCCTTCTAGTTATAACTGTCTCTACCAGGATGGGTGTGCAAGTATAAGAGCTCACTGATCTTTCTATTGTTTCTGCCTTTGCTCAGGGTTTCCACACCCAGGGTACCCAGGCACATCCGATTTTGAGTATCAAACGTTCAGAACATTTATAGGTACTCTTAAAAAAAGGAAGAAACATTAGGGTAGCTTCTTTATTATTTCAAATAGATGGTTTTTCCTTAAAACCATTTTTTTCATTTTCAAAGCCACTAGGGGTTTTGAGTCTATGTAAGTTCCGAATCCCTGACTCAGTCAGAGTGATTTAAGTCTAAAATGCATATACGAGAAAGCATGCTTAAGTGGCTAGTCAGAATATTTATTAGCTCCCCCTAAAAAAGTTAATGAAGAAATATCTGGGGGCTGGCCAAGTGGCTCAGTTGGTTAAGAGCGCGAGCTCTGAGCAACAGGGTCGCCAGTTTGATTCCCACATGAGCCAGTGAGTTGCGCCCGAGCTGAGCTGCCGCTGAGCTGTTGGAAGGATGGTACAGCTGGTGAGAGCACGTGCTCCTAACAACAAGGTTGACGGTTCGACTCCCGCATGGGATGGTGGGCTACACCCACCCGCAACAAAGATTGAACACGGCACCTTGAGCTGAGAGGCTGCAAGCTGCCGACGGGTGGTCGGATGGTGACTGGACTTGGAGTTGAGCTAGCTGTGCCCTCCACAACTAAGACTGAAGGACAACAACTTAGCTGTTCCCCTTCCCCAATTCCCCAATAAAATCTTACCAAAAAAAAAAAGAAAGAAAGAAATTATCTGGCCGGTTAATAAGCTGAACTAGATGGGGAACACAGCTAAAGGGACAGTTTTCATCAGTCTCATATATACATGGCATACATTTCATGATGGAAACCACCACTCTGTTAGTTCCAAGGCTTTCTTTGCTGCATGCTAACGTGCAGCTTTATTATCATAAAATCACTACGAATGCAGAGATTGGGATTTCCCTTGGGAAATGCAACTCCTTCATGCTTCATTATTTTCAGCTAAATGAATGTGTGTGCATAGACAATCAAAATATGAACTACATCCCTGCTATTCAACAGATTACTGCTATGCTGAGCCACACAGTAAAATGAGTAGAAGGGCCAAGACCACAGCAAACAGAGCTAGGCTTTTAAAAGAATCATTTCAGAGCTGTTTGAATTCCAGCAAAATAAGCAATCACCCTTTTGCCATTTTAAAAGGCACTGTCCATTAAAAACACTAGCTTCTGTTCCAACCTACAGAGAAGAAATCCAAGCAACTTACATTTAAACCAGCAATTACATTGGTTTTATCTAACAATTAAGATACCTACACTTTCTTAAAATAGATTCTCTAGGCTTGAAGCATATTTCAAGAACTAAAAAAACACTCTGAGAACTTGATCTGATGCAAAGAGTTTTCAATCATTTTTAAATAGTTGGCAATTCTCAGTTTTAAGACTTCTAAAACATTGCTCTAACAGAATCTCTAAGATATACTGTATATATTTGAAAAACTAGGAATGTAAGTAGTTGGACTGGGCAGAAAAACAGCTTTCTTTTTTGTTTTCAGATGAAGGTGAGGGATAAGAGGCGGTGTGTGTGTATGTATGGTGTGCATGTGTGTGCGTGTTGGGTTGTTTTTGTGGGAAAGAGCACTGGGAGTAGACAAAGTTAGTGGGAAATTAAATTGTCATTGGCAGGAGTTGGAAAAACAAGTCCCCGCAGCTATCAACAATGATATGGTACACTTCCAGATGTGCCAAGGGATGTCATGGACTCTTTAGTGGCTATCAGTCTAAAAAAACTGAGTCCTTAGATACAGAAGAGGTTAGTACCTCAATTGTCACTTGAAGGTCTTTTCTGTAAAGCAGTGACATTGTTCCCATTAATATAAGAAACTGGTGTTGTACCAGTTCTTGATTTACATGTACAAACATATAAAACCCGTGAGGATACAGAAACAAGAACTGAAAGGAGAAATAATATTTAAAAAGACTGAAATAAAGCAATACAACTTAAAAAAATTCTGTACCATTCTGTCCCATTCTATTCTCTCTCTCAAGAATATGCCATGACAACAGTTTGTAGTTTGCGCAGGGCACTCATTAATCAAGTTAAGAGAACTGGGCAGAACCCTCACACATGGTTCCCCCATCCAGATCACTAGATGGTATTTTGAAACCATTCAGGGTCTAGATCTAGAGACAGGAAATGGAAGATGATGGAAACCGGTGCCTGGGTCCTCAGTCACTTCATGTACATAGGATTAATAGCGCTTAGTGACTGAAACAATTCCGTGTTGACATAAGAGAATCAGTACACTCTGATAATTGCTTGGCTAGCTGTGCTTACCTGAATAGCTGCAAATGCCAACGCCGCCCAGATAACATGCATCATGATTTCTTGTAGCTTCTTCACAACCAGAGCCTCACATCCCTAAAACACACAAAGTGGGCTTCATTAGATGTCTTTTGTAAAAGTGAAAGCTGCAGGTCACATATGACTGCTCATTGGCAGAAATGGAAATGACAGAAACTAAAAGAGGGAAAAAGAAGACAATACATTTAAAAGTAATTTACAGTAAAATAAAACAGCATTAAAGACAAGCAAAGGAACCAGGATGTAAAGTACAGCACAGGGAATAT